ATCCAGAAGAGGATTGGGAGAATGTCATATGGTCAAATGAAACCAAAATAGAACTGTTTGGTAGAAACACAACTCGTCGTGTTTGGAGGAGAGAGAATGCTGAGTTGTATCCAAAGAACACCATACCTACTGTGAAGCATGGGGGTAGCAACATCGTGCTTTGGGGCTGTTTCTCCACAAAGGGACCAGGACGACTGATCCATGTACAGGACAGAATGAATGGGGCCATGTATCGTGAGATTTTGAGTGCAAACCTCCTTCCATCAGCAAGGGCATTGAAGATGAAACATGGCTGGGTCTTCCAACATGACAATGATCCCAAACATACTGCCCAGGCAACGAAGGAGTGGCTTCGTAAGAAGCATTTCAAGGTCCTGGAGTGGCCTAGTCAGTCTGCAGATCTCAACCCCATAGAAAACCTTTGGAGGGAGCTGAAAGTCCGTGTTGCTCAGCGACAGCACCAAAACATCACTGCTCTAGAGGAGATCTGCATGGAGGAATGGGCCAACATACCAGCAACAGTGTGTGCCAACCTTGTGAAGACTTACAGGAAACGACTAACCTCTGTCATTGCCAACAAAGGATATATAACAAAGTATTGAGATGAACTTTCGATATTGACCAAATACTTATTTTCCACCATAATTTGCAAATAAATTCTTTCCAAATCAGCCAATGTGATTGTCTGGATTTTTTTTTTCTCATTTTGTCTCTCATAGTTGAGGTCTACCTATGATGCCAAATACAGGCCTCTCTCATCTTTTTAAGTGGGAGAACTTGCACAATTGGTGGCTGACTAAATACTTTTATGCCCCACTGTATCTTCCTCCACTCAGTGCTCAATAATACAAATTTTACACCAACATGTAAAGTGGATCCCACCACCTTTCCTCCAATGCACTCGCCTGAAAATGTGGACCTAGAAATTTGGTATTAGGTTTGTATGGGCGGTTTCCCCTCAGGGGATGTATGTATAACATCGGCTCCCTTCCCACATAGCCTTGGAGATCATCTTTTCCTCACTTACGCTTAGTGAGTATCCCTTTAAGAGGCCCCAGGCCTCTTCCTTCTTTGCTGCCAATATGCTCAAACAAACATAGAGTGGCCTCTCATAGTGTAGTATTTCAAGTATTTATTTAAAGTATTGCACTTACAACATAAACTAGAAAAGCTACAATTTCTGGGGAAATTGTGTGAAGTGTTCTTTCCTCCACCAGTAGTCTACAACTAAAATAAGTAAAGTGCAGCGCTAAAATGACAATTGGAAAAAGTTCAATCTCCAAAGTTCGATAAAGAAGTGATCTAGACACACACATAAATGTTCATAGGATCAAGCAAAATAAGTGGACACAGCTGAAATCGGATCCGGGAAATGGCAAGAATGCACACTCACCAACCGCACATAGGGAATGCGCGTTTTGTTTTATATCCCATCAAACGAGTACCGATACCCCACAGGGAGAGATGTCCTCAAACGGTCTGCTGGGCTAATATGGTCTCCTCAGTTTAAAATGGATCACTCACGGCACACGTCCCTTCCAGGTACAGGTATCCCTCCTCTGGGTGATGTGTAGCTGTGTCTGCCGACCCCTCAGTGGGGGGTAAAAAATGGAGAAGTACCCATAGTGTAGTATATCCAAATTTATTGGTGAAGAAAGGGTTAACAACCCAGGTCAGCAATATTACTGGCAAAAAGCCAGAAAACACAGAAATAAGATTGATTAAAAAAGTAAATTACTGACCCTTTAAAAGCAAACACCCAGACCTCCACGTGGTCTGGGTGATAGAGAGGCGTCACAGGCTGTCAGTTCCTCCTGAGGCCTTTCGTGCTAAGGCACATCTTCAGAGGGGATGCTGACCATCAGCATCCCCTCTGAAGATGTGCCTTAGCACGAAAGGCCTCAGGAGGAACTGACAGCCTGTGACGCCTCTCTATCACCCAGACCACGTGGAGGTCTGGGTGTTTGCTTTTAAAGGGTCAGTAATTTACTTTTTTAATCAATCTTATTTCTGTGTTTTCTGGCTTTTTGCCAGTAATATTGCTGACCTGGGTTGTTAACCCTTTCTTCACCAATAAATTTGGATATACTACACTATGGGTACTTCTCCATTTTTTACCCCCCACTGAGGGGTCGGCAGACACAGCTACACATCACCCAGAGGAGGGATACCTGTACCTGGAAGGGACGTGTGCCGTGAGTGATCCATTTTAAACTGAGGAGACCATATTAGCCCAGCAGACCGTTTGAGGACATCTCTCCCTGTGGGGTATCGGTACTCGTTTGATGGGATATAAAACAAAACGCGCATTCCCTATGTGCGGTTGGTGAGTGTGCATTCTTGCCATTTCCCGGATCCGATTTCAGCTGTGTCCACTTATTTTGCTTGATCCTATGAACATTTATGTGTGTGTCTAGATCACTTCTTTATCGAACTTTGGAGATTGAACTTTTTCCAATTGTCATTTTAGCGCTGCACTTTACTTATTTTATTTATACCAAAGGTGGTTGTGATCATCTTTAGTGCTATTAGCTGCTTACTTGTCTTTTATCAGTAGCGCTCACTTTTTTCTGTTTATTATCAGTAGTCTACAACTGGAGTGGGTGGAGTAACTGGGTGGAGTGGCTTGAGTAACTGTGAAAAGGTTGGACTGGGCAGAGTAACTGGAGTGAGTAAAGATAGTAAACATTGCACTAAACAATTGATCAAATTTAAAAAGTGCACATGGCAAGCTTGATAGAGTGAGAAATGCATTTCAACTTTTAATTATTTATATAGCACATTTAATTGCAATGTTGTTGCCCAAAGTGCTTCACAGTTACATTAAAACATACATTTATAAAAACATTAGCAGCATTATCACCTCATATACTCTCTACTGTAGAAAACTTATTTCCAAACCTTTAACCAGAAGCCGGCCAAACTGTCACGAATTCAAAATTAGATTTCAAATAGGGCAGAGAAGAGCGGTTAAAAACAAACTGCTCCAAATTGCTCACTTCACTGTCGTCTTCAAATGGTCGTAGTTTTAAAAACTATAAATCCTACAGTGTGAGAATCACAAGACCCAGACCTACATTTTGATGCATAGTATGTCTCTGAAACAAAAATGAAGGCACAGTTGCAGATTAGAAATTGCCCTTCAAATTTGTGGTGGCTAGAGTGGAGTCTCAATGAATGTCAATGGGCAGCGTGAGTTGCAAACAAATGATCATATTGTGAAAACTATCAGGACTATGGCTTAGCCATGGACATTTTTAGTGGCAGCAGGGATAGCTGAACGTTTTGATATAAAATAGTGTAGGTGGGCTTGAAAATGAGGGAGTAATGGCAGTTTAGAAATCATGTCCTGATTTTTCAGCTCACACTCTAGCTTTTGTCAGCTCCCACTCTAGTTTTGAACATTCCGCCATTCATTCCTATGGGACCAATTTCACCACAAAAACGCTGATATTTCGTGAACCATTCGGCGAAATGTTCCACATAGTAATAGCACACCAATCGGGAACAATCCGCACTTTTCGGTATATTATTGTCTATGTAGTGTAAAAACTGTGGGAGGAGTTAGGGTGGTACATTTGGCTATAATAATAAGAATATATATGTGAGATTACCAGTAAGTGGTCTTGGCATGCAAGACCACTTAAATAGTAAAAGCTACTTTAAAAGTGTACTGTGCAGCCACGATCCAACTCCCCTGCGGGGTCAGCGTCACCCAGCTCCTCCTTGGGGGGGAAACGCTCATACAGACCTGATAACATAAGTTTTTAGGTCCAAATCTTGAGGTGAGTGCATCGGAGGAAAGGTGGTGGGATATATACATTGGAATCACGCAGATTGGATTGGGACATTCATGAACTATTATCACAAGAATTGAAGAATGTTATTCACTGTTTTTTGTTTTGTACCAGTATTGGGATGTCATATTGATGCGCCTGTTGCATTTTCTCCGGCGTGGGGAGGTTCTGTGCCCAGACGCAAATCAGTTCCAATGGCTTCCTCCTCACACATTAAGATTACATTCATCATGTACACATGAGAAGGGATTGAAGTAGTGGGCACGTTTGAGTATCCAATGGCCAGTTCCCAAGCCGACGTGGGAAGGTTCTGTGCCCAGACGCACATCAGTTCCAATGGCTTCCTCCTCACACATTAAGACTGCATTCACCATGAACACATGAGAAGGGATTGACATAGTGGGCACGTTTGAGTATCCAATGGGTAGTTCCCAAACCTCATCAGGAATATGAGGGAGGTCTGGCATCAAAGGAGAGGAGTATATAGGTAGCAAGAGGCAGTGTTGTAATAGGCAAGGCGTGCACAATGTATCCAAACTGCCATGTTTATGTAACCAGCTGTAGAACTGCAGAGGGGCGGTTATGGGACAGTCACCCTCAGAAATAAGCAGTGGAAATTTGTAGATCCTTATGGTAGGATATAAATTGCACACACAGGACCCTAGTACTTGAAAGGAGTGGCGCACAAGATGTGTAAGGAGGAGGTGATTGCAGCACACATCAATGAGAGGTACATAATTCACTATCTACTTAAATTTAATATTCCATGGAGTTGCGCATTAAATATCCCCATTGTTGAAGCTTCTTGACTGTAGATTAAATTACCATACAATCCCTGTTATAAATGTTTTAATACCTATTTAACGAAGAACAACTGAAGTGCTAAAAGATTAAATTCCCATTTAAGAATCTCACGTACTCAGGGACTGGTTTTAAATGCACCCGTAGCTTTTGTCCTCATATTCATTTTTCCTGGTGGAATCAGACCTGTTAAAATGGACGTGATTTACACTATATATTTCAGACAATGGGTCTGCTTTCATTTTGAGGCATGACGATGCAGTGCTAAGTGAATGCATTGCTATGCATCCTGTGTTTTGCCTACTGTACTCTTTTTGCCTTGGGTGTCAGGAGGCGCTTGTTGGTCCTTAGGAAAATATGCAATGTTAAATGAGCTTTAACCTTCTCATTTTTATTCTCTAGGTCCGACAAATGGGGCAAATGGGATTGCTGGCTGTGGATGTCCCAGAGGAGTTGGGTGGTGCAGGTTTGGATTACTTGGCTTATTCAATTGCTGTGGAAGAAATCAGCCGTGGATGTGCATCCACTGGAGTCATCATGAGTGTCAATAATGTGAGAATATAAAATACATTTATTTGAGCAGGGTCAAAAAAGTTAATATTATAAATAATTAATATTCACTTTAAAGTATACCTAAGGGCAAATCTCTCCTTTTTGTAAGTTTTAGATAGAGTGGAGAGGATTAGAACCCCTGTCAGGTTTTTTATTGTCTGTGTCCTCATTTGTCCTGTTTACATTTATTACTGAGAGTGAAATAAAATCCCAAAGTGGGTTGTCAACAGAACAGGAATATAGGGGGAACACTTCAAATGGGGACACTAGTTCGCCTGGCAGCACTAGGCTCCTTGGTTCAAATCCCAGCCACGACACCTCCTGCCTGGAGTTTGCATGTTCTCCCTGTGCCTGTGTGGGTTTCCTCCGGGTGCTCTGGTTTCCTTCCACACTCCAAAGACATGCTGGTAGGTTAATTGGCTCCTGTCTGAATTGGCCCTAGTATGTGTAAGTATGAATGTAAGTTAGGGACCTTAGATTGTACGCCCCCTTGAGGGTTAGGGACTGATGTGAATGTACAATATATATGTAAAGCGCTGCGTAAATTGATGGCGCTATACAAGTACCTGAAATAAATAAATAGTGATGACCAGGGATTCCCTCACTTTGGAGAATTTCCTTTCACTTTTGTTTTGGCTATGGGACAGAAAGTGAACTATGAAAGTAAATCTCAGTGAGACAGATGGCAGAAAAGTGACGGGTTATAATCCTCTTACTTTATCCAATATGGAAAATGTTCTAAAGTGGGATTTGTTATTGACGCTTTCCTTCATTGCCTGTGTGCAGATATATGTACCTTGAATTATTATATCCGTTCTCTTACCATCTGTTCTGATATGTGTACGTTGTAAGTATTTTACATAGGATGTTGATTTGTTCATCAATGCAATTTTATACCTTTCATTTAAAAATCTTATAGCTCCTGAGGAAGGCGGTATCATCGTGAAACATGTTGAGCCATTACTATCACCATTTAACCACTTGCCAACTGCACTATAGCCGAATAATGGCTACGGCGCGGCTGTCTAGTTCTGGAAGGACATCACATGTCTTCCCAGAACAGGCGCGCACCCGGCGATCTCCATGATCGCTGTGTCCTACGGACACAGCTGATCACGTGATGTGGTAAAAGGCCAATCACGTGTGAAGAACATATTTTAAAAATGTGTATTTTTAAAATATATTCTTCAGATTTTTTTTAACATATAAAAAAGTAACTTTAACATATATTTTTACAAATATTTGTAAATGCATTCCAAAAATGTAGATTTGTATTTTTAAAGACATACAGTATATTTGAAATGTATTTTTAAAAATATTTTTCATATATTTTGTAATAAAAACGCATTTCAACATGCAGTGTGTGTGTGTGTGTGTGTGTGTATATATATATATATATATATATATATATATATATTTTTTTTTTAAATATATTGAATATGGCCAAAATTGTAGCATTTCAACAGCTGGGAAAAGTTGTGGTTACAATGCTTTGTAGATCCATATGAGTATAACATGTTTGTTATTTTAAGTGAAAAAAAATTCAGACTTTAGTAACACTTTTAACTGTTTTCTAAGTTTCAGACACTTATTTCTTAGAAGAATAAACTAGGATTATTATTATTTCCCTTAGTCTCTTTATTTAGGACCAATTCTGAAAATGCAACAGAAGAGCAGAAAAGGAAATGGATTACTCCATATTGCAATGGAGATAAGATTGGCTGCTTTGCGCTGAGTGAACCGGGTATGTGAAAATGCTGTGAGGAAACAAATCTTTAGGCACTGCCTTGGTCTTTCCTATTAACCATGATAGTGGGAGTAAATGTAGGCAATGGTTGGTGTTCCATACTGATTTTTCCATAAGTCTGCACTAATACAAATCAGATTTTGGGTATGCTCTGCAACAAAAATTTCACTTTTGGTGGGATGCTCCCAAAGTGCAATCACATCTGAAGGTAATACACTGCCACTTTACTCATTAGAACCCTGCATGTGCCGCAGTTGTTTGATAATTAGAAAGTCACTCCCATTTACATTCACTCTGCACATGGACACAGACAAACACACAGCTATTTTTTCAGAATAACAAAAGGTAGGGATCTGTAGCAAAGTTTGTTTAAATCCTTGCAATGTACATAGATCACTTATAGGGGAATGTTTTTGAGGAGTTACTCATTAATGTTGTTAGTAGTGATCATGCCCTCTTTGTAATGATTTATCTGACAAGTACACAGAAAAATTATTTTGTGAGTGCTGCTAATAATCTTACCATGGAACACAAGCTAGGAAGAAGAGTGAGGCTACAGACAGAAACTGGAGAGGTCAGCCAGCAGTGTGTGTACCAGAAAATTTCCTGTCACAGAGATCAAATCAAAATGCAATAATAAATAAAATGACAAGAAATATTTTGTTTCACCAAAGGTCCCCAAGTATTCTATCTTGCTTACTAACATAGTTATTATCTGTAGGTAACGGCAGTGATGCTGGAGCAGCAAGCACAGTTGCCAGGCTTGATGGGGATCACTGGGTGTTAAATGGGACTAAATCCTGGATCACAAATGCATGGGATGCTTCTGCAGCTGTTGTCTTTGCAACAACAGACAAGTCCTTGAAACACAAGGTAAGTCATCCAACTGCTTTATGAAGGAGGCAGACTTTTTATTTGAAAACGTGTGTGTGTGTAGGTATGTATATACAGTTAGGTCCATATATATTTGGACACAGGCACAGTTTTAGTTTTTTTTCAGATATTTACCAAAACATATTCAAGCTATATTTATATAATGGATATGGGCTGAAAGTGCACACTCTCAGGTTTAACTTGAGGGTATGTACATCCAAATTTGAGGAAGGGTTTAGGAATTACAGCTCTTAAGAGTAGCCACCCCCCCTTTTTCAAGGAACCAAAAGTAATTGGACAATTGAATATAATCATAAATAAAATGTTCATTTTTAATATTTTGTTGACAATCCTTTACTGGCAATGACTGCCTGAAGTCTGGAACCCATGGACATTACCAAAGACTGGGTTTCCTCCTTTCTGAACCTTTGCCAGGCTCTAACTGCAGCTGTCTTCATTTGTCCTTTGTGAGTCTTTCTGCCTTTTAGTTTTGCCTTCAACAAGTGAAATGCATGCTCAATGGGGTTGAGATCAGGTGATTGACTCAGCCATTGCAGAATATTCCACTTCTTTTCCTTCTAAAGCTCCTTGGTTGCTTTTGCAGTGTGTTTTGGATCATTGTCCATGTGTACTGTGAAGCGTCGTCCAATCAACTTTGCTGCATTTGCCTGAATCTGGGCTGACAGTATATCTCTAAACACTGCAGAATTCATCCGGCTGCTTCTGTCACATCATCAATAAACACCAATGACCCAGTGCCACTGGAAGCCATGCATGCCCATGCCATCACACTGCCTCCACCATGTTTTACAGATGACGTTGTGTGCTTTGGATCATGAGCTGTTCCAAGCCTTCTCCACACTTTTTTCTTCCCTTCATTCTGGTACAGATTAATCTTAGTTTCATCCATCCAAAGAATGCTTTTCTAGAATCGGTCTGGCTTTTTTAGATGTTTTTTGGCAAAGTCTAATCTGGCTTTTCTATTCTTCAGACTTATGAATGGTTTGCACCTTGTGGTGAAGCCTCTGTATTTGCTCTCGTGAAGTCTTCTCTTGATTGTAGACTTTGACAATGATATGCCCACCTCCTGGAGAGTGTCCTTCGCTTGTCTGGATGTTGTGAATGGGTTTTTCTTTACCATAGAGAGGATTCTGCGATCTTCCACCACTGTTGTCTTCCATGGACATCCATGCCTTTTTATGTTGCTGAGCTCACCAGTGCGTTCTTCTTTCCTCAGAATGTACCAAACTGTTGATTTGGCCACCCCTAATGTTGCTGCTATCTCTCTGATGGATTTGTTTAATTTCTGAAGCCTTACAATGTCCAGTTTCACTTGCATGGACAGCTCCTTTGAACGCATGATGTAGGTTCACAGCAATAGATTCCAAATGCAAATACCACAATTACAATCAACTCCAGACCTTTTACCTGTTTAATTGATGAAGAAATAACGAAGGAGTAGCCCACACCTGGCCATGAAACAGATTTTGATTCAACTGTCCAATTACTTTTGGTCCCTTGAAAATGGGGGATGGCTACTCTTAAAAGCTGTAATTCCTGAACCCTTCCTCCAATTTGGATGCACATACCCTCAAATTAAACCTGAGTGTGCACTTTCAGCCCATATCCATTATATAACTATAGCTTGTTTTGGTAAATACCTGAAAAAACTAAAATTGTGCCTGTGTCCAAATATATAGCAACCTAACTGTGTGTGTGTGTGTGTGTGTGTGTGTGTGTGTGTGTGTGTGTGTGTGTGTGTGTGTGTGTGTGTGTGTGTGTGTGTGTGTGTGTGTGTAAAAAAAAAAAAAAAAAAAAAAAGTCGCTGTCACTATAGGTCAGTGCCGGTTTTTTAAATGTAATTACCAACTTTTTTTTTTTTTTCTTCACTATAGCTCAGAGAATCGGCTGTCACTTTCCCCCCACCTAAAAGAAAGTTTCCTTTTAGTTTATTTCCCCTAAAAGAAACAATGTTTCCTTTTAGTTTGTTTCCCAAAATAAAAGAAACAAAGTATCCTTTAGCTCAGGGAAAATGACAGCTAATTCTGTGAGCTATAGTGAAGAAGAAAAAAGCCGGCAATTGCTTTTAAAAAAATGGCACCGACATACACTTCGTATTTCGAAAAAAATTTGATATTATTTTCAATGGAGGTATTATTTTCAATGGATAGTCATTCGTAAGCCGAAAATTACGTTAACCGAGGCTTTCGTAAACCGAGGTACACCTGTGTCTGTGTGTGTGTGTGTGTGTGTGTGTGTGTGTGTGTGTGTGTGTGTATATGTATATATATATATATATATTTTTTTTTTTTTTTTCTCCCTTTTACCTAAAGCAATCACTTTAATTAGTGATACACCGATATGTCTCCCACTGAAAATATCGGTTGAAAACAGGGTTATCGTCGTTTTGCAGATAGGAAAAAAAAAGGTGCTGATAATGATAATTGACTTCAGTGCAAAATCACATCCCACTGACTTCAATGCAAAAACACCTCTATTTAAGTTTTACGTTTTTGAATTCTATATATTTAATTTTATTTTCTGTCCAATTCTTGTGTTACTTTCAATAAAAGTTATTTTACGTTTCTGGATTGTACTTTTTTTCATATTCATGATATTAATTAAAAAGTCAACTATAATACAACTTTATATATATATATATATATATATATATATATATATATATATATATATATATATATATATATATATATATTTTTTTTTTTTTTTTAAACTGTTCGTTTTGGTTTTCGAACTGTATGATGAATTTTCCGTCCAGAATTTTAATTTTGGTCCACCAATAGTAATTAGCGCTAATCCTTCACATAAAGCTTGTGGGATGAAAGTTAATACTTACAGAAAGTCATAGGGCAGTAAGGCTCAGTCCACACTAGTGCAGGTGGAAGCCGCTGAAGGACCCGCACTTTATCCTGCAGCTGAACCACCCATTAAACTTAATGGCATGCCGCAGCACTAGAAGTCACACCCGCACTGGGAACCACAACTGCAATGCGGTTCCCAGTTTGGGCTGTGATTTCAGGAAAGGTGCAGGGACCTTTTCTCTGTTTTTTGCGAGGCACAGCGGCCCATTCAAATAATTAGGCTGTTGTGCCATGACCTGCAATACAGCACTAGTGTGAACTGAGGTACATAGCATGTTACCCGTGGATCCCATTTATTTTCTTTCAAAAACAGGTAGCCAATGCAGACATTTATGTTGACGTCCAATTTTTTGTGGCATTTCTATTGTACTGTATATAGAAACATATGTTGTCTGAGACATGAAAGTACCTGTTAGTTTCTGGCTGCTACATTCATTTGTCCACCCCTACTTTAATGTTTCAATAAATAACCATATAAAGTATAATTAGCGTTTTGACTCCTGAAAGTGAACTTTAAACATTAAATTAAAATGACAGCCTATTTCTTATGCTTATTTTCCCCTACCGTCTTTCAGGCCAGCACTCTGAGAGACCTCGGCTCCTCCCCATCTGAGGAAACACCTCCACCTAAAATAAAAAAGCTCCACTCCCCTTTGACCTCAGTTCAGGTGTTTCCTCCGGTGGGAGACACGAGGAGGCGCAAGGCGGCAGACGATAGGGGAGCTGAGGGCCGGATAGCCGGCTGAGAGGCCCGACGCAGCCGGGAGTGAAGGCCGGAGTGTCCGGCTGCATATCCTCCCTGGGCAGGCTGCGGGCAGTGGGCGTGCATCCCGGGGGACGGGACAAGGCACGTACCTGCGCTTCGCCCCCGACCCTCTCCGGCGAGGGGGGGCGTCGGGGTGGCTGTGGTGAGATCTGGGGAGGATCGGGGGGAGTTCCGCTCCTTCCCATGCTGGCGGTCTGAGGACTTTGCCGGGCCGGACGTCGGGAGACGGCGGTTTCCGGCGGAAGGGGCGGGGCTTCGCCCAGGCTGCGACTTCCGCTTCCGGTCGCGGCCCTCACACCACGGCGGCGCGAAATTCAAAAAAGGCAGTGCGGTGGACAGCGGCCTGGGGGACAGGCCAGCACCAGGCGACCACCCTCCGGTACGGGATGTCGGAGGCACCGGGACCAGGAGATGCCAGCACCAGCCAGTCACAGGTAAGGTGCCTCAGTGGAGGCCTCCCCTACCTGTTGGCCCCTAGGATATGGGAAGGTGGGGCAGGGGGTCTGCGGTGTTGCAGGCCCTTAGGCTCTGCCGGGAAGGAGCAGGGGGGGGGGTGATTGGTGTTGGTCTTCTCAGGCTTCCCTCCTCCCCCTTTCTTTGTGTGTCTTTCAGGGCAAGGCCCGAGCTAAACTTAGGTACCAGGAGCCCAAGCGGAGATGCCCTTCCTGTAAGGAAGTTTTGAAAGAATCTTGGCGAAAGGTTCTTTGTGGGCCATGTATACAGGGGTTGGTGAGGGAGGAGAAGCCGGAACAGGGGGACCTAGCCAGGTCAGTGAAGGAGTTGGCTACCACCTTCGACTCCTTCAAGTCCCTCATGGAGAGGTTTGCCCTCCCACTACCTACACTTCCCCCCCCCCCCCCCCCCAGGTAGCTTCTGTGAGTCGTCGGGAACCCCCCTTATGACCGGGGAGGAACCAGTGGGGGATTCCCAGTCTGAAGAGGAATCGGCGGGGGGAGGGTCCCTCGGAGGAAGGTAGGGGCCCCTCCCGGTACAAATTGACCCTAGAGGAGGTAGATGAGCTCCTGGGGGCTATATACGAAACCCTGGACATTAAGGAGGAGGTTAAGGCCTTATCTCTCCACGACCAAATGTATCAGGGGTTGGAGGAGCACCAGCACAGAATATTTCCTGTGCATGACATTTTGGTGGACACTATTAAGAAAGAGTGGCAGGACCCGGAAAGGAAGCCGTTCTTCTCTAAGGCATTGAGAAGGAGGTTTCGGTTTTCGGAAGACCCGGAGGCAGTCTGGAACAAAAGCCCTAGGCTAGACGCGGCCTTTTCCCAAACGACCAGGAGAACTGACCTGGCGTTTGAGGACATGGGGGTCTTACCAGACTTATTGGACAGAAGGGCGGAGTCTCTCCTTAGGAAGGCCTGGGACTCGACCTTGTACAACCTGAAGCCGGCCATGGCTACGACAGTGGTAGCCAGAAACTTAGAATACTGGCTTACACAATTACAGGCCCATATTGTGGCAGACTCTCCCAAGGAAAAAATCTTGGCCTCTTTTGAGACCCTTTTGCAAGGAGTTGGGTATATTGTGGACGCTTCCGCAGAGTCGGTGAGGTTGGGGGCCAGGTCTGCTGCCCTGACCAATTCAGCCAGAAGGGCGCTGTGGCTAAAAACGTGGCAGGGGGACATCACTTCTAAAATTAGGTTGTGCGGCATCCCCCTCACAGGAGACTGTCTGTTTCGGCCCTGGGTTGGAGGAATTATTGGACCGGACGGCTGACAGGAAGAAGTCCTTCCCCCTCAAGAGGAAAATGCAGGAGGGGGGGACACGGAAGGCCCGCCCGGCAAAAAGGCTGAGCCTGCGACCACCTGGTCAGGGTAGGTCTACTGGGCAGAGAGGTAGGGGAAGAGGGGGGAGCGATTTTTTTCGCCCTTCTGAGCAACCCCAGAAGCCAAGGTGACTTGGTTCCTCCTGTGGGGGGAAGATTGGCGGCCTTCCTCCTACAGTGGGAAGCCGTGGTCGCCAGCCCCTTCATTTTGGATATCATCCGGAGGGGTTACCGGTTGGAGTTTCTAAGGCCGCCACCCGAGACATTTCTGGTGACGACCCGTCCAAAGGATCCGACGAAGGACGCGGCTCTGGTGGGCGCTTTGGAGGTTCTAGAGTCCCAGGGGGTCATCTCCAGGGTTCCGGTAGAGGAACGAGGGAAGGGGGTTTATTCCCATGTGTTTGTGGTTCAAAAGCCGTCTGGGGCGTTCAGGCTGATTTTGAACCTGAAACCCCTGAACAAGTCAGTGCGTTACCGGAGGTTCCGCATGGACTCCATCTTTACAATCAGGTCCCTAATCCCACCAGGTGCATTCATGGCATCCATAGACTTGAAGGACGCCTACCTACACGTGCCCGTGGCGGAGGCCTCTCAGAGGTTCCTCAGGTTGGCAGTGGGGGGGAGGAAGGAATTCGACATTGGCAGTTCAGGGCTCTTCCATTCGGCCTTTCCTCCTCGCCAAGAGTATTCACCAAGGTTCTGTCGGAGGCACTGATTTCTATTCGCTTAAGGGGGATTTCAGTGGTGGCCTATCTGGACGATTTGCTGCTCTTCGCAGATTCAGAGGCTCACTTACGGCAAGATCTGGTTATAGTGAGGGGCCATCTAGAAAGCTTGGGGTGGATTTTGAATCTAGAGAAGTCCTGTCTGGTGCCTTCTCAGAAAGTGGTTTACTTGGGCTACGCTCTAAATTCGGTAGACCAAAAGACCAGCCTGACTTCGGAGAAAATCACCAAGTTGGAGGCCGGGGTCAGATTACTGCAGGGGAGCAGGTCAATATCCATAAGGCAGGCCATGTCGGTACTTGGATTACTGACAGCGTCCATTCCGGCAGTTCAGTGGGCAGGTCTGCATATGCGTCCCCTCCAGTTGTGGGTCCTGAGGGTTTGGGACAGGAGGAGTCACTCCCTAGAACACAGGGTCCTGGTTCCCCCCAGTGTGAAGAGGTCTCTATGGTGGTGGCGGAGATCGTCCAGCATAACTCAGGGGCTGTTGTGGTGCTTTCCGATATCCAAGGAGGTCACTACGGATGCCAGCTCCAGGGGCTGGGGAGCCCACCTGGGAGACTTAGTGACTCAGGGGGAATGGTCCTTAGGGCAGAAGGGCGAATCCTCGAATTGGAAGGAATTGAGGGCAGTGTGGGAGGCTCTGCACTCCTTCCAAGCGTGGGTCACGGGCCAGCACGTGCGTGTCCTAACGGACAATGCCACGGCAGTGGCTTATATAAACAGGCAGGGAGGGACAAGGAGCAAGGCCCTCGGAGCCTTAGCGGCGACACTGTTGTCCTGGCAGAGGTGAACTTGGCGTCCCTGTCTGCAATACACTTAAAAGGGGAGCTGAACCAGAAGGCAGACTTCCTGAGCAGGACTCGGCTCAGGGAGTCGGAATGGGCCTTGAACCCCAATGTCTTTCAGGAGATTGTGCGGAGGTGGGGATCCCCGGATGTGGACCTTTTTGCCTCGGGAAGGAACAACAAGGTCCCAAATTTCTTCTCTCTATCCCGCAGGGACGGGTCCAGAGCGGTGGACGCATTAGGTCAGAGGTGGGACTACCGGCTTTGTTACGCCTTCCCCCCGGTTCCTTTGCTCCCCCTGGTCCTGAAGAAATTCAGGACAGAGGGGACCTCGTTAATCCTGATAGCTCCCTTCTGGCCACGGCGGGCGTGGTTTGCGACCCTAAAAAGTTTAGCCTCTCGTCCACCCTGGGAGCTGCCGCCGAGAGAGGATTTGTTAACACATGGGCGGTTCTTTGCCCCAGCGTGGGAAGATTAAGGTTAACGGCCTGGTTTCTGAGCAGCAGCTCCTCTTAGAGAAAGGGTTCTCGCCTAGGGTAGTGGCGACATTACTGGCCAGTAGGAAGGAGGAGACCCAGGCCATTTATGGTAGGGTCTGGGGTTGCTTTACAGCCTGGTGTGACCGGACATCAGTGGCAACCCATAGTTTGGTTTCCGTGTTGGAATTCCTGCAGGCGGGGGCAGACAAAGGATTGTCTGTCAGCACGCTCAAGGGCCAGGTCTCGGCCCTCAGTGTGTTCCTAGAAATGCCCCTGGCCAGGGAGGCGTTGGTGAGTAGATTTTTCAAAGCTCTGGTGAGGCAGAGGCCTCCGAGGTCCAGACCGTTTCCGGTGTGGGATTTGGCCAAGGTGCTTGGGGGGGATGACTAGGGCCCCGTTCGAGCCCCTGGAGTCCTGCCCGATTAGTGAGCTCACCATTAAGACGGCTTTTTCTGGTGGCGATTACCACGGCGAGGAGGGTATGTGAGCTGGAGGCCCTCTCGATCAGAACACCTTATCTCCGTATTTTTTCGGACAGAATTGTTTTCAGACCGGACCCGTCCTTCATTCCGAAGGTGGCTCGGAGTTTCCAGAGGGAACAGGACATTGTCCTTCCCTCGTTTTTTCCTGACCCGGTGGGGGTAGATCAGGAAAGATTACATTGTTTGGATGTAAGAAGGTGCGTTCTCCAGTATCTAGAGAAATCTAGGGAGTTCAGAAGCACCGAATCCCTTTTTGTTTTTTTTAAGGGGGCTAGAAGAGGCAAGAAGGCGTCTAGAAGGACGCTGGCCAGCTGGCTGGCGATTGCAGGAGCGTATCAGGCGGAGGGCCTGGAGGTCCCGGAGGGTATCAAAGCGCATTCCACCCGAGCGGTGGCAGCTACCCAGGCAGAGCTAGCAGGGGTTTCCCCAGGGCAGATTTGCAGAGCGGCAACATGGTCCAACTATGACACATTTGCCAAGCATTACAGACTGGACCTGGTCTCGGTGCAGGAGCAGGACTTTGGTCGTAAGGTCTTGCAAGCAGTTAGCCCGCCCGAGGGGTGAGTACTCGCTTATCCTCTCAGAGTGCTGGCCTGAAAGACGGTAGGGGAAAAATCAAGTTACACTTACGGTAACGTCTTTTCCAGGAGTCTTTCAGGCCAGCACCGGTTTCCCACCCACTGTTGATATTTGTTATGTGAAGATGGCTTATTACGATTATGTTGTCTCGCATTGTGTCTCCCCAGGTGACCGGAGGATGCTTGGAGAACTGAGGTCAGAGGGGAGTGGAGCTTTTTTATTTTAGGTGGAAGTGTTTCCTCAGATGGGGAGGAGCCGAGGTCTCTCAGAGTGCTGGCCTGAAAGACTCCTGGAAAAGACGTTACCGTAAGTGTAACTTGATTTTTTGTTCCCATTAGATCAAATTTGTTTCTACAGTATAAACTCTCCATATCCTCACAGCTTGGCCAGTTTGGTGGTTCTCCTGCTCAGCTAGGTAACTCAATATGCAGCAGACTTGACTATCCACAGTCATGGCCAAGTCTGATAGATATGGACAATTTAGTACAGATGTTACTGCTACTCTCTTTATATATTTGTATGAATGCCAGCACTAGTATCACTGCTTTATTCTGCAGGGTATTAGTGCCTTCTTGGTTGAGATGCCATCACCAGGCCTTTCACTTGGAAAGAAGGAAGATAAGCTGGGGATCAGGGCTTCCTCCACAGCAAATCTAATCTTTGAAGATTGCCGGATACCACATGAGAATCTTCTTGGAAAACCTGGAATGGGCTTCAAAATTGCCATGGTGACTGCAACAGGGTGTTGGCAATTTATAACTCTGTGTACACTTCTTCTCTTACTTTTTTTGTTTCTCTTTAGCAAACTTTGGATGCTGGCAGGATTGGCATTGCATCTCAGGCTCTGGGCATTGCTCAGGCAGCTCTTGACTGTGCAGTGGATTATGCAGAGAAGAGAATAGCATTTGGAGCACCTATCACCAAATTGCAAGCTATACAGGTAGAAGCGTTACATAGAAAATAATGTTGAATTAGGTATGCAGCTGCCTTACGCCCTCCTTTTTTTCTTTTTTTTTTTTTCCCTTTGAACAAGTTCAAGTTGGCGGACATGTCCCTTGCTTTGGAAAGTGCCAGACTCCTCACGTGGAGAGCTACAATGCTAAAGGATAATAAGAAACCTTTATACTAAGGTGAGCTTTGACCTCTACAAAGCTTTAACCCAGTGATTGAATGTCTTGCTTTTGTTCTTTTCATTAATTTATTTCATGTATTTATTGTAGGAGGCAGCAATGGCCAAACTAGCAGCATCAGAAGCTGCAACACTGATTTCCCATCAGGTACCTTTTTATTATTTGTCTGGCAGCACTGCGAAAAATGCAGATCCACTGTATAAAATTAGGTACTAAAAAAGCAGCATTTCCTTGCAGTATAGAATTGCAAGTTATAAATAAAAAGCCCATGGAAAGGGGTGTTGTGCTCTATACATCTAAATGCCAGCAGGCAAGTTTCTCTGTAGGGTTGACAAAGCCCTTCTGTGAGACCTGTATAATTCATCCAGATTTCAGACTCTAGATAACGTGCTTGTCTGGTCTTGCATACATATACAGCATGATCTGCCTTTTTTGCAGGATATTCCATAGCTATGCCTGGTCATAGTTACATAGTTAGTCTGGCTGAAAAAAGAATAAAGTCCGTCCAGTTCAATCATTCCAAAGTTTGAGCATCATAATGTTTTAATTTCTTAGCAGCCAGTTATGTTCTGAGCTGACATATTGCTGATTTTTGTACTGCTCATCTTTTTAGGCTATTCAGATCCTTGGAGGGATGGGATATGTCACTGAGATGCCAGCTGAACGTCACTACAGAGATGCTCGAATCACTGAGATCTATGAAGGCACTAGTGAAATACAGAGACTGGTGATAGCCAACCAATTACTGAAGGAATACCAGCAGTAATATACTACAGTGTGAATGACTCACCAAAGCCTTATTTCTGAAATATTACTTTTGGGGGAGAAGAAATACTTTAATGAACAAAGATAATCATCACAAAGTGACCACTCAAAGAACTTTGCACAAATAATATTTGCAGAATTTTAATCTGTTTTAGAAGGCTTTTCTATTTTTTTTCAAAATGATCTGGCTTGTAAACTGAATAATATACAAAGCTGTGGTAGAAAGGTAATATTCTCTGCTGTAAATATAGTAAGTCATGCCCTCCTGCATCACTATTCAGCACTAATATGCTTTGTCCAGCATTCTTTGTATAGACCGATATAAAGTCACTCTGGTCTACAATAAAACCTGTAGTGAAGACGTGGCCAAGCTGCCTGGAGTGAAACAGAAGATATCCTGCAGAGCCAAACAAGATAGGGGTATGCAGATAACAGACATACACTATACCATGCTGCTGTCCTTACCAGGATAGTGGACTAGTGCAGGAATGGAAAAAAAAACAAACTTTCTTTTCAGTGCCTCTCAATGTACTTCTTTGGTGCAGAGTGCTTGTAATGCCTACAATTAAACAACATCCAACAATTTGACCCTCTTGGCCTGTATTTCAGACTGCCTCCAATGAAGAGGTAATATTGCCCCCACTAACCCTGACCATGGGGACCCTTTATTTCTCTCTGGGCATTCAGGACCCAGCATTTGCACTGGTAATATGCTCCAATAAATACCGTGCCCTACATTTCATGATAGGCACAAAATATACTGATCGTTCTGGATTTGGCCCATTTGAGACAGCTTGTATACTTCTTGCAGTTGCTCCCGGTTTCCCCTTTGACCAGCCTCTATTACCTTTCAAGCAAGAATGCACAATATGTGGTTCAGGCAAACACAATGTTTTTGCTAAAAATTCCTCCAGTTGGCCAGGAATTTTTCACTCTCCTACAGAGTCGGTAAAAGGAGTGGTCAGGAGGGCCGGCTGTCCTGGGTGCAGAGAAGCCAGGAGGCAAAGAATAGATGCAGGGTGGTGCACCCATTTTATGGCATGTATTAACAGTGGGGGGGAATTTTGGATCCTTGACCTGGGTGCTGGACGGTCTGCCCCGGTACTTCTCTCCTGTGTAAACAAATGAGAACAGTGCCTGCACATGCACTTAACCTCTGAGGAGCAATTTAAACTTTACTATGTCCCTCAAATCAACCATAAGTAACTAGATATCAAGAATCGGGGATACAGTCTTCAGATCAAGTGTTAGAGGATTGCACAAACACTCTGTTCCACATTCACAAGTTATTCAGACCAATGTGGGCAATGTGTCTCCTCTCCAGTTTCTCTTTATATCTTTTGGTTCTATTCTGTACACTTCCAGGATAAGGTACACACTATTTCCAGAAATTCTCTGAGTTTCTGATTCCCAAAGAGTCATTATTTCTACTTTATCATAACACCATTTCATTAATACCTAAAAATGACCAATTATTATCTACATGATGAACACTGCACATGCATGTATTCCAACGCTGTGGAAACAACCTTCCCCAATGGTGGACCACTGGATAGGATGAATTACATTAGAACTATAGAAAATCTGACCAGTTATTCTAAGGGTGCACACAAAATTCTGGTCTACCTGGTATTTCTGAATGGATATATTTCTTCACCAAAATTCAAATCTCACTGGAACTGTAATAATGCAGGACCCCACTTCTAATGCTCACCTCGCTCTCCATAAAATAAAAGCCCTAGCCCATTCCCTATATCCCCAGGGTTGCTTAGTTTGACCTCAGCCACTTTCCCTATCGATCATCCACCTCTTCCCTACCCCTGCTACAAATATCCTCTATACATACAAAGCCCCATTGGGCTCAACTCTCTATGCCATCCCCCACCCTCTTGCCTTCTCAGGCTTTTTTATATGACCCTCTTATTTATTCTTTTTATTTGCTATTAGGTTCATGCATATGTTTGCCCTCCATATGTGCCTAGCATAGCATATTTTTGACCCTGATACAGTCAACACCAGTGTTTACCCCACCTGTGTATGTGGTGTCGTCCTTTAAGGGTTTCAGATACTAACATTTGTAATCTTGGCTTGGAAATGCTAGTCTGAAAGAAACTGGGATTCACAAGCTTAGAAGCACTTACATGATAACTCAGTACTCCAGGAATGGCTCTTACAATCACTGTAACGAGTGTAAGTAAATGGAAAATGTAATGGACATTCTTGCAAATTGCTGTGCAACCTATTGTGTTCTGTAAGCTAAAATTTTGCTTAACTAGTTCAGCATTAGAGCAGTTGTTTTAATTTTTTTTTTTTTTTTGCACACATGTAAAAATCTTTATTTTTGGCCATTAAATTACTTAAACCTCCAGCGCATTATACAGTGGATATAAAAAGTCTACACACCCCTGTTAAAATGCCGGGGTATCTGTGATGTAAAAAAAATTAGACAAAGATAAATCATTTCAGAACTTTTTCCACTTTTAATGTGACCTATAAACTGTACAATGCAATTGAAAAATAAACTGAAATCTTTTAGGGGGGGGAGTAAACATAAACTAAAATAATGTGGTTGCATAAGTGTGCACACCCTCTTATAACTGGGGTTGTAGCTGTGTTCAGAATTAAGCAATCACATTCAAAATCATGTTAAATAGGAGTCAGTACACACCTGCCATCATTTAAAGTGCCTCTGATTAACCCCAAATAAAGTTCAGCTGTTCTAGTAGGTCTTTCCTGACATTTTCTTAGTTGCATCCTACAGCAAAAGCCATGGTCCGCAGAGAGCTTCCAAAGCATCAGAGGGATCTCATTGTTTAAAGGTATCAGTCAGGAGAAGGGTACAAAAGAATTTCCAAGGCATTAGATATACCATGGAACAAAGTGAAGACTGTCGTCATGAAGTGGAGAAAATATGGTGCAACAGTGACATTACCAAGAACGACGTCCCTCCAAAACTGATGAAAAGACGAGAAGAAAACTGGTCTGGGAGGCTGCCAAGAGGCCTACAGCAACATTAAAGGAGCTGCAGGAATATCTGGCAAGTACTAGCTGTGTGGTACATGTGACAACACTATCCCATATTCTTCATATTTCTGGGCTATGGGGTAGAGTGGCAAGATGGAAGCCTTTTCTTACAAAGAAAAACATCCAAGCCCGGCTAAATTTTGCAAAACACATCTAAAGTCTCCCAAAAGCATGTGGGAAAATGTGTTATGGTCTGATGAAACCAATGGTCTGATGAAACCAAGGTTGAACTTTTTGACCATAATTTCAAAAGATATGGTTGGCGCAAAAACAACACTGCACATCACCAAAAGAACACCATACCCACAGTGAAGCATGGTGGTGGCAGTATCATGCTTTGGGGCTGTTTCTCTTCAGCTGAAACTGGGGCCTTAGTCAAGGTAGAGGGAATTATGAGCTGTTCCAAATACCAGTCAATATTGGCACAAAAACCTTCAGGCTTCTGCTAGAAAGCTGAACATGAAGAGGAACTTCATCTTTCAGCATGATAACGACTCAAAGCATACATCCAAATCAACAAAGGAATGGCTTCACCAGAAGATTCAAATTTTGGAATGGCCCAGACCTGAATCTGATCGAAAATCTGTGGGGTGATCTGAAGAGGGCTGTGCACAGGAGATACCATAGTAACATTGTACTACTTTGGGGAAGTGATCAGTATTTTTTTTTTTTTTCTTTACACAATTTGATTGCTTATAGCAAAGAGTTTCTTTGCTATAAGCAAGCATTTAACTGAATGAAATCGATTCATTCAGGTTTTTTGTGATTAGCTGTGATGGGCCATGGCTAATCACATGACACAGATTGGCTGTGATTGGGCCAGCCTGTGCATGTGATCACTGTGACCATTCACAGCTAGACACACTTGTATACAATGGATGGCATGAAAGGAAGCCATCCACTGTATACAACTGTCATGTGGCCTGCTGTGATTGGTCACAGCAGGTCACATGGTACTGGCAACGGGGCCAGTACACAGATCTGTCATGTCCGAGGTACACGGCTGGTGACAGATCTCGCCACAGCGTGGCGTCATATGACGCCCCCTACCAGAATAACACCCCGAAATCTGTCTGCAAAGTGCGGTGCGATGTGCAGAATCAGATTGCATGGGTGTGAATACCCATGCATTCCGATTCTAGTGCGGACCAAAAAAAGGGTCCTGCACCTTTTTGGTGCGGATGCTGTGCGATTTCAGCCATACAAAATG